TAGAAGGGAGGAGAGTGGCCGCTATTTGTTATATAAAAGATATATAAAAGTTGGGCGAAACCGCGGGTATCGGCTAGTGTAACTATATGTATATTGTAGAAGCAAATGATAGAGAAAGCGAGTACTTAGCGGTCTGCATATCTGAAATGTAATACATACAAAGAGTATTCAAAGCTAATGTGTCTAGAGAGGGAACTGAATATATCACCTGTCATTATTTTCGTAATATATTTTACACATATATGTTTAATAAAATTGTTTATTTAGAATAACCAACAAAATTAGTATCAATTATTTTGAAATAAATAGATTTTGTTAAAAATAAAATTTAATATTTTCATGATCTATGTAGCAATGATGCAAAATATTTAATTTCGTTTTCTTTTTATTAATTTGTTGTTATCTATACTAATATTATTAGGTAGTAAAGTTTGCGAGTTTAGATGGTCGCTGTTAGTTTCAATAAAGAAAACTCTCTTTGCCACATATTACACATATATATACGAGAATATAAAATGTATATAGAAACCAGACGTTCCTACCTATGCATTAGTTATACTACGTAAAAAATAATGACGAACACTATAAAAATGTCAATTTGAATTTGAACATGAAAATTTGCTAGCTTTTCGGATGAAGAAAGATATACTTTATTTTTTACCTTCGATGAAACTACAAGCAAATGTTAGTCGGTTCTACAATAAAAAATATACAATTAGGTACATGTATTTACTTATTAGCATACAAAATAGATTATAATCTGTACGAGAATTTATTTTTTAGAAGCGTACGCTTGGTACTTAATTGGTTTCTGTAATCCAACACTATGTATGTTTAGAAGCTAAATTGTATAAATGCATCCAATTTACGCTAGATAATAAAAAACAAAAAGTAATATAGAACTACAGAATCACTTTGGGTAGATTTTGTTAATAGATTACAGTCCTACAGTAGATTTTGTTAAAACAAAACCGAACAATAATAAATATCATTTTACAGTACTTATATTGCAAATATTTACATTTTTACACTAACCTGTGAAGTGTGTCATTTTTTTTTCTTTAACAACTATCACGGTAATACTCCATGTAATTATAATTATCACAGTTAAATTGGAGTTAAATTTACAATTGAATATTCAATTGGGTTTTGCATTTTTATTATGTGAATTAGGGCTAACAGTAAGATCGTATAGTGTTGGATGAATTGTATATGAAAAAAAAAATAGAATGAACGGAACACTGCGCTGGAATGCAATGTGAATATGTAAATAGAGGAAACTTCTCACCATTGTAATTGAGAACTTATTTGCAATTAAGAACTTAGTTGTACATACGTAGTATCATCAGGTTTACAGTTTCAATTTCGACGCAATTGAAATAAAGTAATTTCAAAATCAATTTATGGAATTCTTTGTTTTTTTTATAAAAGGTTAAGGTAAAGGGTGTATTTTATTAAACTATGAGTTTATTTTCGACTAGTTGAACCCGTAACTCATGTACCCATGCACTGGAATATTTGTAACAACATTAGATATTTATAACTTTATTGGACTTACCATTATGGACTTACCATTGGAATAAAACTAACAAATAAATAAAGTTTAAGTGAATCTTACGTCAATTAAGTTATTTCTGATTACCGTGCACCAACGTACAGACAAAATATTAACAATTTTTGATATTTCTGTTACGTTGATTTTCCCCAACAACAGTTTTTAATCTGTTTTATACACTCAAAATTATAAAAATTTATGGTCAGATAACAAACTCCATTTTGTTAGTAACAACTAAATATAAAATAAAACAAATCACTGCAGTCTAACCTGACCTTACACAACGTGTGACTACTATGGACTGTGTTGTAAAGAAAACCACAATTTTAAATGATTTCATTTTTTTCGAATAATAAAATCGTTAAATACAATAATTTAACAACTATTTGTGAAGTTCTATGTTATTCTACATAAATTAATAGAAACATAACGGATATTGAAATTAAGGGTACGTATACACACAAAATTTGTACGCACGACGCGCCATCAAAACGCAGCATGAGCTAAATAACATTTCAATATAAAATGATAAAAAATGGTTCATTTAGAATGGGCTTATCCAAAACAAATTGTTAGTAATACAGAATTCATGCGTAAACGAAGCTGTATAGAGATTGCTGCACTATCACTTTTGTAGTTAAAATATGTCAAATAATAATATTTATTTTTATTTATTTATTTATTTTGTACACATTACATCGATGGTTGTAGACAAGACAATTAACAGCAATCCCTGCACTAAGCTCAGGGCTTGTGTCGCAAATCAGAAATCCTTAATTACAAAAACATTAACTTAAAACAGGCTCCAGTTCAACGAGGTACAAAATTAACTAATATTATATCGGTACATTTTTTTTTTTTTTACAAAGAATAATAATAACTAAAATAAAGGTAAAATTTGGGTGTAGGCTGGGTAGGTATATGAGCGTGCGTTTGTGCGTGTTGTGTGTGTGTGTGTGTGTGTGTGTGTGTGTGTGTGTGTGTGTGTGTGTGTGTTTGTGTGTGTGCGTGTGTGTGTGTGTGTGTGTGTGTGTGTGTGTGCGTGCGTATACAAAGGGAAGTTTGTGGGCGTGTGCTTTTGTATAGAATCATCGACTACAGATTAGTTAGAATCAGCTCTGTGTCATTATAGGACAAAGACATTAACCACTTTGACACGATATCTTTTAGTTTTTTAGTAGGGAGATCTTTAATATCCAAAAGAAATTGGCAAACTTTATTATAAATATGCGGACGCAGGTAAACAGCTTGGTGTTTCATAAAGGTAGTGTTAATTATTGGTATACACGATATATTTACAGTGTTTAATTTAGTTAACCTTTTACGTCAACTGCAAATTATAATAATAATAATCTCAGGACAATTCACACAGCGCCATCTAGTCTCAAGTTAGGCTAACTAAAGCTTGTGTTATGGGTACTAGATATAATAGATAGGTATATATATATTTTCATACATGCATATTACACATAGAAAACACCCTAGACCGATACAAACAATCATACTGATGAATACAAATATTTGTGCAGTGCGAGGAATCGAACCTGCGACCATCGGAAGTAAGGCGGTGTGCTAGACATCTTAAACACTGAGTACGTATTTTTTAGTTTTTCTACGTGCTGTAGTCAGATACAATGATGTCGTGATAAACACAATACTTAATATATCCCAAAACAGTTGGATTACTGGATACAATTTAATCCGATACCAATGGGAAGAGTCTACCGCGATGACTTAATGGTTTATTACCCTATCTTTGCCCAAATATTGTGAATTCGTATCTAGCAACATAAAAAATGTATTGATTTGTGTTTCTGACTCTGAGCCTGATGATGGTAATACAAAATTAATCCAAGAGACGCCGGCTGCCCTGTGCTATATATCAAACATTGCATCAACACAATATCCAATATCTATAGTCGATGATAAAGGTATGTCATTAAATACCTTGAAATTACGTATTGTGACTTGTAAACAAAAATTATAGACAACACATATATTTACATATTATGTAAAATTATAGGTTTGTCCTGTCCGATGACTGCCCATCAACCGCCTTCTGTTTTTACCCAATGGTTAGCTAGTAGAGAATGAGTGGTAGAATACAAAAATATGAATATTCAAAAGTGGATTTAGATTTTTTGAATAAAGATTATTTCTATATCGTTCAATGCTATGTAGCATATGAATATTCAAAAGTTTATAACGAGTTTATTAATAAAGGATATTTCTATGCTATTTTATGCCAGATGGCTCTAAGCTCGCCAATTGTACAATGTTATAAGTGCAATATAAATTTAAAACCTCCTATTTGAAATCTGTTGAATGAACTGTAAATGATATATTGTTCTGTCGCAGGATTAACATTCTCAAGACAACTAATCAGACCATTTCGCAAACGGCACGCTTGCTGACAGCGTGACAAAACAAAAAGGTCGCAAAGGTGAAAGTTCAGAGCCAAAGGGGGAAAACTAAATTGCAACCAGTTCACTTAATAATAAAGACTCTATTGTGTGTAATTCATCATAATAGATACAGTATAACAAGATTATACAACTATGATGCTGAGAGGCATTGTCAGAGATATTTTTAGTACTTGGAAACTGTATATTCTTTCGTATCGTATTTTTTGTATAAATGTAATTTTCCGGAGAAGATACTTATTTATATAATCCTCAAACACAAAGTATTTTTGGGCAGATAGTTAACATTTTATTGATTACTGGTATGACAAAATTCTACTAGATGACATTATGCCAGTAAGGTAATATCCAAACGTAATTACATTAGAATAACTAGCTTTACCCACGATTTCGTCCACGTGGAATCTAACTTAATTTTTCTAAAATAAAAGTAGCCTAAGTTACTCCTTATTAAATTAGCTACCTGCCAAAAATAGTCCCATCAAAATCGGTCCAGCCATTTCAGAGATTGGCTAAATAGACAAAAATTATATAAAATGTTATTTTGGTCTATGTACTGTATTTATATTCATATGCATGTAGTAAAAAACAGTTATTTCAATATTACAAACAGATACTCAAATTTTATTTATATCTATAGATAACCGTTATAAAAACAAATATTTCTCTTGTATGTTTAGCTCGAGGGTGTTCTTATTTTGTTCAAGTATATCAGTAAAGTATAAGTTCTGTATTTTAGGACACTTAATCGAAAGATAAATTTCAATTAATTTAACATTATAACTGATTAATAAAATGGTTTTTTAATTTTAAAATAATGATTTTTCTATATATTTTTTACATTAGTGTATGATTTTGTCTTTTTAGCCCACTTCGTCAAAGGAAAAATATCATTCATTTTTATCGCTTCTTTTAATATCATAAGTGATTAATAAAATGGAATTTTAATTTCAAAATAATGTTCTTTTCATAATCTATATATTATTCATATTCTTACTATATAGATACAATATAACACGTACCTCCAATGTCACAACTGGTCATCTCTGTGATGAGACGCTCCAGGTCCGGCGTGATGAGTCGCTCCTCATCCTCGGCGTGGGTGTAGTCCAACGCGGTATAAATCACGATGGCCAGGTTCACTACCAGCTGAAACAATAAGAATAAACAAATGTGAAGAGCCTTTAATGTAAATTGGATACCTAGAATAACAAACAAGCCGTTTGTTCACTTTAGTAAAGTTTGTTTGTTTGTAACACTTTATTGCACAATAAATACATTTAAATAAATTAAAGATACAACGATCTTAAAATATATATATATATATATATATATATATATATATATATATATATATATATAAGATGTACAATGGTGGACTTATCCCAAATGAGGGATTTCTTCCAGTCAACCTTTGAATGACTGAAAGGAATTGTGGAGTTGTGGAACTATATATACATGACAATAACAACAAAGGAAAAAGAAGTAGCAGAGGAAGAAAAAGTAATAGCCGTTTTATATAAATATGAATGTATTATGGACATATGGCCTCGGTGGTCTAGCGGTATAGCGCACCGCTTTACTTCCGACGGTCGCAGCTTCAATGCCTCGTGCGTCAAATATCCTCCTTCAAATATTTGTATTCATGAGTATGATTGTTTGTATCGGTCTGGGTGTTTTGTATGTACCCATAATACAAGCTCTGCTTAGCTCGGGACTGAATGGCGTCCTAGGTTACTATTATTATAGAATGCAATGTGATTCCAGTAGTACTTCTCATCCTAGAATCTCATATTAGAATGTTAATATAAATAGCCGAAATGCAACAATGCTGATTTATTTGAAGACAAAATGTTTTAACAAAATGTAACTAATTTCCTGTTTAGTTGGGAAATAATTTATTTATATTCACTTTAATTGACTAAATATTGAACCTTGATTTTGATCTAAATACTTTTTATCATGACTAAATTTTAAATTTGTATCGTATTAAAGTTTTATCCACTAGAATTTTAGTAGAAATCTCCTAAATCTATTTTTATACCTACAGTGAATCTAAAATGTAGAACTTTCAAAAGTCGAAAACATCGAGTTTAACTACTTAATTAAAACCTATATAGGAAATGTAATGCTCTAAATAACGAACAAGGCACTACCAAAGGCATACTGTTACATATTTTATACTAAGTTATAATCCCACCCATGCTGAACGATAACGAGTAAGTACACTCTCTATATAGATGATTTTATTACAAAGTACCATGTTTATATAGGCTGTATAGGTCTGATAATATAGTTAAGATTAAAGTAAGTATACATTTTAACATTATTTACCTTACGTAAGTTAAATTATTATTTAATTTATGTAAGATAAGTAATATGAAAAATTATATTAGAAGTAGAGTTCTTGGACCTATAAATATAGACATTATTATAAAGACAGAATAGTCGTTTAGTGCTCATAGTCCCAGCTCTGTTAGATTGTAACTACAAGGAACAATGTCATAGGATTCATTATCATAATTGTAGAAGAAATTATATTACAGTACATAAATTTTATATGTATAGTTGTATATATACTACATAAACAAGCAGCCGTATTATTCCATTCATAGCCGATGTAGCAAGAGACGGTCCACCAAAGAAACTACATTACTACATTGCCCACACGCAGTATGATCTCTCACCGTAACTATCAGAGCAGTGAACGGAAAGCTGCCCAAACCATTGTGCAGACTATCTGACTGTACCAGTTGACCCTTCATATAGAACAATTGATACCACAGTGGGGATCAACTAATGGACACAACTGTTGCCCAACATCAAGTGCAACCGCTCCCGTCTGCCTGCAACGCTACACTCCATTAAACTGACGTTTAGAAACAAGATTAATGCGAGCCTTTATGTTCAGGAGCGATTGTGATTTAATTATTCAGATACGTTTTATTTCCACGGTGGTATGATGGAACAATACTGAGGAATCTTTCATAAAAGCTACATATGTAAGTGTGCATATTTATTCAGTATAATACTGTGCTACATAGGACCAACAAAACAGACCCATTTGATAATAGTTAATAATAAATAAATAAATAAAGAAATAGTTATTTTTGGTGAAATGCGCTTGATACTCCAAATTTTTACTTCACACAAATATATGTTTATTTATATTCAGATTGTATTGTAATAATTATTGTAAATTAAAATTAAAAAACTATTTTCCGTATTTAAAAATTACCATTAGCGTATTTAAACAAAACTGTACAGAATGACAGTGACCTGAAAGATCACAAAAATTAATAGCGTTAGGTTTGCTAGAAATCAAGATTCTCAATACAGATAAATAAAAGTGTATTAAAACATTAGAATTTTTGTACAAAAATGTTTTATATTATTAATATATATCGAAATGAATTTTTATATTACACAATACACTATTCGAGTATGCATAACCATGTACAAACATTTCAATTACATTATGAATAAAGTTTGCAATATAGTTACATTACATAAAATTTAATGTTAATTGTATCGCAATGAAGTTTAATGTTAATAGTTATTTACTTAGTATTATTATCATAGTTAAGGACGTCGTAATCGATATCTTAAATGTAAACAACAAAACTATCTATTTATTCTCAAGCGAGACCTCTAAAGGTAAAGAGAAAAAACTATTTCTAATATACGTAAATAGCACAGTCATTATTCTATCGATTACAATAAGCCTTGTGTTGTATATCACCGTTATCACTTCACCTTCAAACATCCAAGTTAACTAGGCTTCCTTCCGTCACTGTACAGGAAGTTTCAACGCACTGGTACCAACGTTTACATAATTCTAATATCCACACATCAGCCGGAAAGTGCTTTATTTCTATTCCTTTTTTTAATGCGACTAGATAATACCTGTTATTTCGTTGCATAAAACTTTTGATGTTGTTATATAAGGAGATGCTTGGGCTTGAAGCTGTCCCAATTTCAATATATATGTATACTAGCTGACAGTCAGCCGTCAGCCAGCCACAGCCGGCAAAAGTAATTTTACCATATAGATTAATATCGTTGTTAAAAATATTTTTTATAGATAGAAAAGGTAGAAAAATAGTTAAAAAAATATAAAATAGTGTAGCCATCCTTATCATTTACAGGTATGAAAAATATGTCAATATAGGAAAATGCAATCATTTTTATCTACTGTCCAACGAAAGATCGCGAATTTGAAAAATGTTGAAAACAATCAAAAACACACTTATCGACTACTGTAACGATACTCGCTATTGTAACGATATGAAAAATAACAACAATTGTATCATTTTTATGATGATTTGTAGAGAGGTCTACGAAAAGATTTTTTCTTTAATAGAACCACACAATTGTCATAACGAACTCATCGATTTTCAGTAAAAATAAAACGTATTTATGTAGACTTTTATTAGAGACATTCCATTCCACCCAAACATTTCAATATGTCATATTCTGTCTTCATATCTGAATGTAACATCCATCTGATATGCGTATATTGAAGCTTGTTACGTTACCTACTGATTGTAACTTCAATACAAATTGTGTCCATATAGAGGAGAAATAAACAAATTGTTTATATATCACACCTGCATAGTTCAGACTTAGTTCAGGTTACGCTCTCTTAACCCTTGCAGACTTTCTCTCTGATCCTTAGTGACGTCTACACACAGCCTTAAAATTGGTGGAGATATTAAAGCTGCAGTGGTGAGTGTCCTACATTGCTTCTCTGATCGCCTATTGTAGACAAGTGGTCACAATAACAATAGTGCGGAACGAGTGTTGTTTATAGGAATTGGTCTACTCAAGTTCTAGCTCCTGTTTTGAACACTTTTTCTTAATTATTTACAATAGTATACATTTCATAGACGACATATAAACCCTGATTATATTATTTAAGACTTTCCCAGTCAGATCAGTGACCAGGACCTTGACCTTGAAATTAGCTTGCAGAAATATCGAGAGGTCTTAAATAATATTATTATATTAAATATCCCGTTTATATGATAAATTAAATAATTATTTTTGCTAATTGAATTATAATTAATTTAATAAAATAACTTCTTAACTAACACACTAAAATGTTGATGGGTCACTACATGGTTCATATATTCTAAACCTCTGCATTATTGTATATTATTATAATGGTATATCTACAATCGCATTTTAAAAAGTAAGAGCAGAGTTTCGTGGCAGTTCTTCTTGACTGAATATATATTCCGAACTGACTGTACTTCATTTACTTCATCGTCATCAGCTGCAGGATATAGGCCTTTTTCAAAGCAAGCTGCTATGCACGATCTTCAGCCCTCTCAGCTCTCTTCCTTCAGATCTGCTCCACTTCTTCTCACCTTACTGCTGAGCGTCCTACGCTACACTCGTTTACTTCATACGTGTAAGTAATAGACATGAATAAAGATATCTTGTGTTTGCTACTAATGATTTATCTACACAGGAGCCGATCTAATAAGCGATTTGGGATGCTCTCCACCACTACTCCAGTACCGCCACCGATTTTAAAGCCGTGTGTAGATGCATTAGAAAGGACGGTCAGACTCGTTGCGAGATAGTGACCGAGTGAACTGCGGTCAATAAGAGGCTATCGGAGCCATCGCGGTAACAATTGGTTAAGGCATCTGTGGGCGTTATGGAGATAATTCCGAGTTATGTTTTTACGTTATACACAGATACAAAATCACATTTATTTATTCATTAACAATTTATATTATGTTTGTATTTATATATAACAATCATCGTAACCAGTATTATAAATACGAAACTAAAAATATATATCAAAACTATTTGCATTTACAAAAAACTGTATTAATTTTTGTAAATGCATACACACAAATACAAATAGTTTATTTCACAGCACAAGATAAAATTATGTGGATGCAGCCTTATCATTTTAAATTTATACAAACCTATATAAAGATGACATTGCTCTTCCTAAAGATATCAACTGCAACCTTGCATTATAACATGATAGTACTTTTTTATACATAACATATATAAACAACCAGACCAATACATTACAGAGTTTTTACGGATGTATTATTACAGATTATTCTCTATAAGTACAGCCTTATTGTAATAGCAAAACGTGAATGCTCTTGACTATAAATTAT